ACAACGACGGCCGCATCGACTTCGACGGTCTGGGCCGCGGGAGCGTGGGGGGCGGGGCCCGAGCCACGTGGGAGCGTTGGTGGGCGGGGCACGAACCACGTGAGGGCGTAGGGGGTGGAGCCTGAGCCGCGCCGGAGCGTCGGGAGCCGGGCGCGGCGCAGCCTTGGGGCGGGGCGGGGCGGAGCCTGTCCGCGTTCCTCAACCTCGGCGGTACGGATCGCCGCCGGTTTCGTGCAATTCATCGCTTCCCCCCACAAGTCATCCCCCCGCCCCCGGCGTGGCCTGACGCTGCACCCCGGCGCAGGCTCCTTGCCCTGAGGGGACCCCTGACGCCTGTTCCTCCCCCTCCCGCAGAGTTCCTGAAGATGATGGAGGGCGTGCAGTAAGAGGTCGGCCCTCGCTCCGCCGAGACCGCGCGGCCCTCGGACGTAGGTGCTCTCCCCCACCCAGTGTCATCCCCGCCCAAGAGCCGTGGCGCGGCCCCTTCTCGGATCCCCTTCTGGAAGGAATAAAAGCAAACGTTGCAAAGCGCGTGGCCTGAGTGAGGGGAGGACCGAGGAGCGGGTGTCAGGGGCCGCCTGTCTGGGCGCTCTCGGCATGGTCGCGGCCGGCCACCCGCAGCTGGCGCTGGGCGTGGGCAGCTCGGCGGCCTCGCTGCTTTGGCGCAAGGGGGAGGCCGCGGGGGTTTCGATCTGAGTCAGGATGAGCCGCGGTCCGCGGGTGGGGTGAAGGCGGGGCAGGAGGCTGGACTGGGGGCGGGGTGGAGTGTTGACACTTTCACTCCCCACTGTCCCTTCTTTCTGGGGCGCAGGCCACCGGGCTGGGCGTCGGGGAGTGGGTGCCCATCCATCCCAGGCAGCCTTATTCCCGCTTGACCTGTTCCACTCGGTCTGTTCTGAGCGCTTCTAGGTCTACTGGTGATGGCAGGGGAGGGTGGGGACTCAGCCAGGAAGGAGGGTCTGACCTCATCATCCATCTCCACCCTGGATCCCTGCCTCTGCCTGGTCCCCCAGCTTTCGGGCCCCTGCAGTGCGTTCAACAGAGGGCCATCAGCATGATCTAGCTAAAATGAGATCTGGCCTGGCCACTCCCCTGTGGAAAGGACTTCAAGGCTCCCCATTGCTTCTAGAATCAAATCCAAATTCCTTCCTCTCCCTCCGTCCCTTGCTTCCCACAGCTGCCTTTTTCCGCGTGGGCTCCAGCCATCCTGGGCAATTTCTCATTCCTGCTATGGACAGTGGGGTTGCACTTCCAAGCCTTTGGGCCTTTGCACATGCTGTTTTCCTTCCTTGGGATGCCCTTCCTCCTTTAATAAGTCTGGCAAATTCTTCAACCCAGTTCAGATATCATCTCCAAGATACCAAGACCCAGCTCAGACACCATCCTCCCTTCCTTTGATACCTGCCCCCATTGGCTGTGAGCTAGCTTCCATAGTTCTCTGTACACAACCCAATTATAGCAGGCACCAGGTCACAGCTAATCAAGTGCAGTGGTAGCTTAGCTTTCGTAGGTGACCTGCGTTTGAATCCCCACTGCTGGAGACAAATTAAACCACTCTGCTTCAGTTTCCTAACCTGTAAAATGGGGATAATGATGGTACTTACCTCTCAGGGTTGTGAGAACGAGTTAATGTGTGCAAAGTGCTGGCACATAGTTTCAGCGTTTAATAAATACTATTATTAATATCATTATCATCATTCTTTTTTTGAGAGAGAGAGTTTTTTTTTTAAATGAGTTTATTTGAGCCAAACTGATGACAATTGCCAGGAAGCAAGATCTCAAATGCTCAGGCTCATCATTTTTGAAACATTGAACTCCACTGCTCCTCATTGCTACAGCCCTCCCTCTCCAACTTCTTTGTGTTCTCACCTCCCATTCATGTTTCCCAGTTATTCCACTCAGGATCAGTACTGGGGGTTATAATCATCACGATTGGTGCCTACTGTATGCAGTGCCCTGTGCCTTGCAGGCCTTGTCTCATTTATCCACACAACCCCAGAGGCACATGATCTAATTATCTCCATTTTTTTGAATTGATTTTAGAGAGGAATGGAGGAAGAGAAACATTGATTTGTTGTTCTACTTATTTATGTGTTCACTGGTTGTGTATTGTTGTTGTTGAGTCTTTTAAACATATATATATTTATTTTATTTTATTTTTTTTCAGTGAGAGTTAAATAGCAATGCATGTTTTATTTTTTTTTAACTGTATTGTGAGTACATAGGTCCTGATTTTACTAGTCTTTATACCTTAAATACATATTATTTAATAGCTGAACAAAGTAAAAAATTCAATTATTGAATTAGCAGAATTTTTTCTTCTTGAGCTTCTACTATGTCTTTACAAAGTGGTATTTGGTCATATGCACATCCAAAAGTTTTAAATACTGTCAATTCTGTAACTTTTTTAGTGTTTCCTATCTAGACATATTCACTACAATATTGCTCTCCACTGTTTTTGTTTTTTGTTTTTTTTCAGATAACATTTTTTAAAAATTAAATCTTTATTGTTCAGATTATTACAGTTGTTCCTCTTTTTTCCCCCCATATCTCTCCTCCACCCAGTTCCCGCCCCACCCTCTGCCTTTACCCCTCCCACTGTCCTCATCCATAGGTGTACGATTTTTTTCCAGTCTCTTCCTGCACTCCCACACCCAAGAATTGTCAGTCCACTCCCTTTCCATGTCCCTGGTTCTATTATATTCACCAGTTTACTCTGATCATCAGATTTTTTATTCACTTGATTTTTAGATTCACTTGTTGATAGATATGTATTTGCTGTTCATAAATGTATCTTTACCTTTTTCTTCTTCCTCTTCTTAAAGAATACCTTTCAGCATTTCATATAATGCTGGTTTGGTGGTGATTAACTCCTTTAGCTTTTTCTTATCTGTGAAGCTCTTTATCTGGCCTTCACTTCTGAATGATAGCTTTGCTGGATAAAGTAGTCTTGGTTGTAGGTTCTTGCTATTCATCACTTTGAATATTTCTTGCCACTCTCTTCTGGCCTGCATAGTTTCTGTTGAGAAATCAGATGACAGTCATATGGGTACTCCCTTGTAGGTAACTGACTTTTTTTCTCTTGCTGCTTTTAAGATTCTTTGTCTTTTGCCCTTGGCATTTTAATTATGATGCGTCTTGGTGTGGTCCTCTTTGGATTCCTTTTGTTTGGGGTTCTCTGTGCTTCCTGGACTTGTAAGTCTATTTCTTTCACCAGGTAGGGGAAGTTTTCTGTCATTATTTCTTCAAATAGGTTTTCAATATCTTGCTCTCTCTCTTCTTCTGGCACCCCTATAATTCGGATGTTGGTACGCTTGAAGTTGTCCCAGAGGCTCCTTACACTATCTTCATATTTTTTGATTCTTTTTCCTTTTTGCTTTTCCGGTTGGGTATTTTTTGTTTCTTCGTATTTCAAATCTTTGACTTGATTCTTGGGATCCTTTTGTCTGCTGTTGGATCTCTGTATATTATTCTTTATTTCAGTCAGTGTATGCTTAATCTCTAGTTGGTCTTTTTTCATATCCTCCAGGGTCTCACTAAATTTATCGGCAGTTTCCAGAAAATTCTTGAAAAACCTTATAACCGTGGTTTTGAACTGTATATCCAGTTGTTTGCTTTCCTCCATTTCTGTCATTTGTGACCTGTTTCTTTGTCTCCGCATTTTTTATGCTTCCCTGTTTTGGTAGAGTGGCTTTGTGTGCTAGGTGTCCTATAGGGCCCAGTGGCTCAGCCTCCCCAATTACCTGAGGTGGACACTCATGGTGCACCCCTTTGTGGGCTGTGTGCTCAGTCTTGTTGTAGTTAAGCCTTGATTGTTGTAGTTATCACTGGAAGGAATTGACCTCCAGGCCAATTGGCTGTGAGAATCAGCCGTGGTTATGGTGGAAGAACTTCTGTGCTGGAGACACCCTTCTGGGGCAAGACTTGCTTCAGTGGGGCTTTGGTACTCACTGAGTCTGCCCCCTGAATGTGTCCCTTATGGATCTGAGGAGTTGTATTCTGGATGGTCCCACTCTGACCACTGGGTACACTGGCTCTTGGATCTAAGGAGGTGCTAATTTAGCCCCTGCCTGAGGCTACCCAGCAGGAGCTACAGAGAGATCTGCAGATTCCTCTTCTTTGTTTGGGGTTTGGAGGTGCCCAGATGAGGCCCAGCTGTGAAGCAATGCAAGCTGCTGTGGGGCCTTGGGCCTTCTTTTGGAAGTTCTGGGTCTGTCTGGCCCAGCTGCAGTTTGTTAGGTAATTTTATTTTTTTATTTTTTATTATTATTTTTTTTAAATATATTTTATTGATTTTTTACAGAGAGGAAGGGAGAGGGATAGAGAGTTAGAAACATCGATGAGAGAGAAACATCGACCAGCTGCCTCCTGCACACTCCCCACTGGGGATGTGCCCGAAACCAAGGTACATGCCCTTGACCGGAATCGAACCTGGGACCCTTCAGTCCGCAGGCCGACGCTCTATCCACTGAGCCAAACCGGTTTGGCTTGTTAGGTAATTTTAGATTGCAAAGGGCCAGGCCATTCATATGCAAAAGCCTCTGCCCCAGCCTGGGTGGGTCGGGGTCTCAGGGAATCAACAGGGTGGAGCAAGCAGCTATGGCTGATCCTCAGCCCTGCCCTAAGGGGCCACGTGTTTCAGTGTCCCTGTAATCACTACAAGCACCTCTGAGGGAAAGCCGCCCTCAAGTTCCGAGTTCTGCCTGCTGACAGACAGTCCAGTTTCTCCCAGTATGAGTCCTGGGTCCCCAGAGACTTCCCGGACCTGGAGTTCAGAGAAGTCGGGGGCTTGTGACTCCCTCCCGATTCAAAAAGACAGCCGCGTCCTCAGGTGCCAGCCCCTTTCCGCACGCTCGTGCCTCCATACCTCTGCACTTTACTTCCGCACCTCCTCTGAGTCTCAGTGTGCTTTTCACTTTCCTTCTAGTTGTAGAATTTCCACTCAGCCAGCCTTCCTGTAGTTCTGGATGATGTCCATTTTGTCTTTTCGTTGTATTTTTGAAGTTGTTGTGGGAGGCAGCAATTTCCGGTGTTTACCTATGCCGCCATCTTGGTTTCTCTCCCTATATATATTTTTATTGATTTCAGAGAAAGGAAGGAAGAAGGAGAGAGAAACATCAATGATGAGAGGATCATTGATCGGCCTGCACCAGGGATGTGCCCTGAGGACACTTACCTACTGAGACACATGGGCGGGGCCTTTTTTGTTGTTAATCCTCAACCAAGGATATTTTTTCATTGATTCCTAGAGAGTGGAAATGCAGGGGTGAGAGAGAGAGAAACATCGATGTGAGAGAGACTCCTAGATGGGTTGCCTCCCGAAAGAAGCTCGGGGATCAAACCTGCAATCCAAGTACATGCCCTTGACCAGGAATCGAACCCTCGACTCTTTGGGCCTCAGGCTGACACTCTAACCACTGACCTAAGCCAGCCAGGGTCAGGACTGCATCGTTTTTCCTGTTTTCTTATTCCCAAGCATATGGCCTTTACCCTGTAAGCACTCAACTGTATGAAGTGAATAGGAATAATAATAGTCATACTTTTTAAAAAATTTTTTTAAAAATATATTTTATTGATTTTTTACAGAGAGGAAGGGAGAGAGACAGAGTCAGAAACATCGATGAGAGAGAAACATTGATCAGCTGCCTCCCGCACACCCTGCACTGGGGATGTGCCCGCAACCAAGGCACATGCCCCCGACCGGAATCGAACCTGGGACCCTTCACTCTATCCACTGAGCCAAACCGGTTAGGGCTGTTTTATCTTTTATCCAGAGGACAGCAGCAGGTTGAGAATTTATTGTTGCTGTCTGTCAGAAGGCCCAGATGTCAGGCCCTACCAGGGCCTAAAAGGGCAGATATTGCTAGTCATACTAGGGAACAAATAAAGGCAGGCAGTAGTCCCTATGCATTTTGAATGGCACAGGAGAGGAGTCCGGGGAAACAGATTTGGTGGAAAACACACTCCCTGCCCTCCCCGCGTGCAGAAGGGGCAGGGCTCGCATTTCTTGAGGTTCCATTGCGTCATACATCCTATTCTAGGCACATTACAGGAGGTCACATCTCACCTCACAACATCTTGGGGAGGGGGTTGTTTGTTACTGGACAATACTGTTTCATTGTCAAGATGAACACGCCCAGCCTGTGTGGCTCAGTGGTTGAGCGTTAACCTATGAACCAGGAGGTTTGATTCTGTGGTCAGGCACATGCCCAGGTTGCGGGTTCCATCCCTGTGTGTGGCATGCAGGAGGAAGCCAATCAATGATTCTCTTCATTAATGTTTCTCTCTCTCTCCCCTTCAGTTCTGAAATCAATAAATATATATATATTTTTAAAAAGATGAAAGACTGAGGCAAATTGAGTTTCCCCAAGTCCACAGCTAGAAAACAGGGGAGCTGGGATTTAAGGCCAAGTCTGTGTAATTTCAAAGCTCTAAGTAGTCTTCATTCAGCTTACCAGCAGGGTGCTGGGGCAAAAAAGCACAGTTCATTCATTCATTCAGCACTCATGCATTCGCCAAATGTTGGCTAAATCTTAACTTGTACTTTGGCATATGCCTCCTAAGTCTGGATACAAAGCAAAAACCATGGGTTGTTGGGACGGTCACTCAGAAATCAGGACTAGCATTTTCATTTTCCAGATGGGTGAACGGAAGGGGCTTACCCTGGATCATACACACAGTGCCAGAACGAGGAGATCTCAGGATGTCCTGTATTCTCCACTATTCTTAGATTCTGTATGAGTGTCTTCCTACAGTCTCTGAAAAAAGGTCATCAAATTTCTGCTTGCATATATTCAGAAACAGGAAGCTCATTATCTCCTGAGGTTGCCTGTTCCTGTTGTTGTTCAACCATGACTCTTAAGAACTTCCTCCTTATATTGAACCAGATGCCATTCAGTTCAGTTATCCTTACAATATTTTATTCAACGAGTGCTGGGTGCTGGGGAATGCAATGGTGAACAGGACACCGTCTCTGGTGGAACTCGGAGCAGGTCGTGATTATGTGGCATGCTCAGTGCTATGACTGAGGAGACCCCCCTGGCCTGGGTGTAGGGGAGAAGTGATCCTGGAGAAAGTGATGTTAAAACTGAGAAAGATGATAGGGAAGTAGGTAGATGAAGAAAGGGAAGATGGGAAGTCCTGGAAGAAAAAAACCAGCATGTGTAAAGGCCTGGAGGCATGAAGGGTGATGCTTGGAGCTGTACTTGAGTCTGACCAGGGGTAAGTAGGACCTTGCTTGGCTGCACTGAGTTTGGACCTTACCTATTTCCCTGAATAAACGAAAGAGCAAATCAATGAACAAATGATTGCCGAGAGTTCCACACTCTCTGTTCCAAAGGGATCAACTGGTTCTAATGGTTGTGTCCACATTGGAATCCCCTAGTTGTTGCTGCACCTTGGCCCCCTGCCTGGCTGGGGGAGGCCTTATTTAGCCTGGCCTGGCTCCGCTGAGCTTTCATTAGGAATGTCTATATATAGGGGAAGAGGGCAGCCAGTTGCCACTGTCCATCTGCCTTCCTTGGTATCCAGCACCCTTTCACTGGCCCCAGAATCTGCACTCGGTTATCTCACTGCTCTTTCTGTTGACTTAGCCATTCACCATGAGCACTGCCTACCCCCCAACACCCAGCCTGGACCCTGTGGATTCTCAGGCAGGGCTCCCTTGGGACTTAACCTGATCTACCCCAGCCCTTCACTCTCCAGACGGCCAGCTGAGCACCTCCAGACTTCTTCACTGAGCTCTGGCAAGGGGCCACCTACCCCATCATCTACTTAGAGAAACTTCCCGGGGTCCCCTTTCTCCCCAAGAATGTCAGTCCCCAAAATCCTTTCCCTGCAGAAGGTAAACTTGAGCCCTAACTGGTTTGGCTCAGTGAATAGAGTGTCAGCCTATGGACTGAAGGGTCCGGGGTTCGATTCTGGTCAAGGGCATGTACCTTGGTTTCAGGCTCCATCCCCAGTAGGGGGTGTGCAGGAGGCAGCTGATTGATGTTTCTAGCTCTCTACCCCTCCCCCTTCTTCTCTGTAAAAATCGATAAAATATATTTTTAAAAAAGAAGGTAAACTTGAGAGAAGAATCTGCTTTCAATGTTGATTTCTCCTCCAAGTGCACACCCTGTTTCCTGGACCCCTACAGACATTTCTCCTTCTGGATAGGTCCGTCAAGGAGTGTCTGTCCCAACATCCCTTCAGTCAAGATTAATAAGAATCACCAGCCAGCACCGGTTTGGCTCAGTGGATAGAGTGTTGGCCTGCGGACTGAGGGGTTCCGGGTTCGATTCCGGTCAAGGGCATGTGCCTTGGTTGCGGCACATCCCCGGTGGGACCATGTGCAGGAGGCAGCTGATCGATGTTTCTCTCTAATTGATGTTTCTAGCTATCTGTCCCTCTCCCTTTCTCTCTGTAAAAAATCAATAAAATGTATTAAAAAAAATCACCAACATGACTCTAGTCCTTAATGATTTACAAAGCTCCCCAATAGTAGTTGCCACCTCATAGGGTGAGTGCTAGATGAGATCATATGGTTAAAATGCTTAGCACATGTAAAAAAAAAAGAAAAAAAAGAAAAAAAAAAGAAAAAAAATGCTTAGCACAGCCTGTGGGATGTCGGAGTCGTCCAGTAACTGTCATTTCCCCCTCCTCCTGCCCTCTGACCCTTACCATGGTTCAAAGACAGGACATTCCACTTGCCAAGCACCAATCCTATGTAACTGGCACAAGCTAGGTGATTTATACCCAGGCTCTCATATGCCACAGTCTCTCTGAGGGAGGTTATGACGATCCCCACCTCACAGATAAGGAAACTGAAGCTCAGGGGGCACTGGGTTTTGGACTTCAAGGCTGGTGCTCGCCCCATCCTACGTGTACCCTCACTTTTCTCTATTCTGATTGTCCTTACCCGTTTTGGAGCAAGAGTATTTCTTGAAGGGAGGTCGCTAAGGCAGTGGAGCAGGGCGGGTTCTCACAGGAATCTAGGACGTCAAGGCCTGCCACCTGCTCTGAGGCTTCAATTTCTCTGCAAGGGCCCTTGGCTAAATTAGGTAATGGGCTAGGATACTGGAAGAAGGGGGAGCTCTCTGACCCCAGGATCTTATTGGCTAGGGCATCCATTCCTGGGGAGCAAGGAGGTGGGAGGAGAGGGTGCCCCTATAAATCCCAGGGGCTGGAGCAGGCCAGAACATCTTTGGGTGGTGGAGTGCAGAGGCAGTGGCCTGCAGCAGAGGAGTCCCTGTGAATAGCAACCATGGTAAGGACAAGAAGGGACTTCATCCCTTTGCTTGCTGGAGCGTTTCTGGGCCTTCTTCAGGCCAGATCTGGGTGCTCTGTGGGGCAGTAACTTGGACCTTTGAAGATGGAACATGATGGTTCCTAAAACCCAGGAGGAAGCCTGGGAAGAAAGCCTTGGACTTCTCTCCAAAGGGCAGGGCTGGGATGTGGTAGGCATTGATGCTTAAGGCTTGCCAATTCCCTGCAGACCTTCTGAGACTTCCAGCAATGTTGGCCACAGAACTGTGAGGGGTGTATGTGTCTCAGCTTGTGTCTACCTTAGCTCAGTAGAGATGGAGACCCCCAGGGCCAGAGTGAGTCACCCTGGAAATTGGTGGCCAGGACTTGCTGGAAGCCTGGCCAAGCCCTCCATGGCCAGTGAGAGAAAGGCTCCTCTGGAGATGGGAGCCCTGCAGGGCCTTGAGCCAGCTCAGGTGCAGGAGCCAAGAACTCCAAATTGATGAGGATGGGCAGAGATGACAGACCAGAGTTAGGGAGACCTCAGCCTCCCAGAGAGGGTTTCTGACTTGGAGCCATCACCTTCCTCTGAGATCCCCCTCCCCACTGCACTTCAAGGAGTAACTAAACGCTGGAGGCCAGCTGCTGTTGCCCTGGCCAGAAAAAATTATGGCATGGGCAAGGCGGGAAGGAGGGTGGGTGGCAAGAAGGAGGGCCAGCACCCATCGAGGTGAAGAACGTGGATGCTTCTGCCCTTCTCCACCACCAGCTGCAGCCCAAAGCCCCTACCCAAATGCCTTGGCTTAGATGAGATCAGAACCCCCCCCCAATATTATTTTCACCCTTATAAGGCCCCCATCATGTTCTGCCCCCCATGAATGGCACTTACTTCTGTGACTGCATCATACGGAGGACACTTAAAATCTCCTTCTCTGCAAGTTCCCGGAGGGGAGGATTGATGTGTCTGACTCTGCTTGGTGGTCCCAGTGCCTGGTGTATGGGCTTGACGCTTAGTGGGTGCTGGATAACTTGGTGCTGCGTTACGGACTTGAGAACATTTATTGAGCACCTATTCAAATACTAGGCACTGTTAGGAGCTGGGAAAATGGGAACATCTTGCTGGAATTGTGTCCATTTTAAAAGGTCCTTTCACAGCCCTGATTCCATTTCATCCCTGAAAAGCTTTAGAGAAGAGGTGAGGGGACGAGGGGACATTAGGTAACTTGCCCAAGGTGACTGGGGGGTTGCTGACTTGACCTCCGGCTCACAAGTGAGAAAGCCTTGGGCATAGTCTGTGCCCTCTCTAGCTCTCCAAAACGGCTGGGGCTGTGGGAGCGGCAGGAGGGGTGGCAGGTTTGGAGCTGTTCTCCTGGAGGACCGAGGGGGCTCCAACAGAGGTGGGGGTCGAGGGGGACCGGGTTAAGGCAAGACTGCACCTCTGACTCCGTGTCTCCTGCAGACGGACCAGCAGGCGGAGGCCCGGTCCTACCTCAGCGAGGAGATGATCGCTGGTGAGTGGGGGCGGGCAGGCTGTCCGGCTGTCTGACGTTTGGTTCCACCGGGGGTGGGAGGGTGGTAGATGCGAGGCTGGCTCACTTCAGCCCTCTGCCTTCCTTCCCTTCGCAGAGTTCAAGGCCGCCTTTGACATGTTTGACGCCGATGGCGGCGGGGACATCAGTGTCAAGGAGTTGGGCACGGTGATGAGGATGCTGGGCCAAACGCCCACCAAAGAGGAGCTGGACGCCATCATCGAGGAGGTGGACGAGGACGGTGAGCGCGGAGGCCTCGGAGGCAGGGCGCCAGGGTGCTGGGGCGAGGCGAGCACCCTCGGGGGACTCGGGCTCACGCCCCCCTGCGCCCCGCAGGCAGCGGCACCATCGACTTCGAGGAGTTCTTGGTCATGATGGTGCGCCAGATGAAAGAGGACGCGAAGGGCAAGAGCGAGGAGGAGCTGGCCGAGTGCTTCCGCATCTTTGACAGGTGCGCTGGGGTCCTCGTCCGGCGACAGGACGCGGAGGTTCTCGGGGTGAGGGTCCGGGAGGGGGCGCCCCGCGGGGGCGGGGCGAGTGCCGCTGGCCCTGAGCCCGCCCTGCCGCTCCGCCCCCAGGAACGCCGACGGCTACATCGACGCGGAGGAGCTGACGGAGATCTTCAGGGCCTCAGGGGAGCACGTGACCGAGGAGGAGATCGAGTCCCTGATGAAAGACGGCGACAAGAACAACGACGGCCGCATCGACTTCGACGGTCAGGGCCGCGGGAGCGTGGGGGGCGGGGCCGGAGTCGCGCGGGGGCGT